TTCTTATTAATAACTGCATTGTTTCTTTCCAGGTACGAATGTGGGCTGAAAATTTCAAGGCTGACTATTCATAGGCTGACTATGAAACTCTTCTTATTAATAACTGAGTGATACTGGAGGCTGACGATGAAATCTGGAGCTATGCATGCCTTAATTTCAACTCTTCTTATTAATAACTGCATTGTTTTTTCCAGGTACGAATCCAAAACTTCATAGGTGATGAAAATTTTCATCTTCTTATTAAACTGCATTGAGGTACGAATGTGAAAACTCATAGGCTGACTATGAAGGAGTGATCCTTGTGAAATCTTGCATGCCTTAATTTCAACTCTTCTTATTAATAACTGCATTGTTTCTTTCCAGGTATGAATCTGAAAAACTTCATAGGCTGACTATGAAGGAGTGGATCCTGGAGATGTGAAATCTTGCATGCCTTAATTTCAACTCTTCTTATTAATAACTGCATTGTTTCTTTCCAGGTATGAATGGGGCTGAAAATTTCATAGGCTGACTATGAAGGAGTGATCCTGGAGATGTGAAATCTTGCATGCCTTAATTTCAACTTTATTAATAACTGCATTGTTTCTTTCCAGGTACGTATGGGGCTGAAAACTGTCAGGCTTGAAGGAGGATACTGAATGGAAATCTGCATGCCTTAGCATTGTTTTCTTTCCAGGTATCCTTTAATCCTGGAGATGTTTTGCATGGAACCTTCTTATTAATAACTGGTACGAATGAAAAACATTGACTATGCCAGATGTGAAATCTTGCCTAATTTCAACTCTTCTTATTAATAACTGCATTGTTTCTTTCCAGGTACGAATGTGGGATGAACGATGAAGGAATGATGAAAATTTGCATTAATTCCAACTTTTTATTAATAACTGCATTGTTTCTTTCCAGGTACGAATGGGGCTGAAAACTATGACGATGAAGGAGGATTGAGATGTAAATCTTGCATTTAATTCCAACTTTTATTAATAACTGCATTCCAGGTACGAATGTGGGCTGAAAAACTTCATAGGCAGACAATGAAGGAGTAATCTTGAAAAATCTTGCATGCCTTAATTTCAATTTCTTATTATTAAATTGTTTCTTTCCAGGTACGAATGTGGGCTGAAAAACTTCATAGGCTGACGATGAAGGAGTGATCCTGGATAAATCTTGCATGCTTAATTTCAACTCTTCAGTAACTGCATTGTTTCTTTCCAGGCAATGAATGTGGGACTGAAAATTTCATAGGCTGACGATGAAGGAGTGATACTTGGAAATTGCCTTAATTTCAACTCTTTATTAATAACTGCATTGTTTTTTCCAAAAAATAGGCTGACGATGCATTGCATTGTTTCTTTCCAGGTACGAATTTCTTTCCAAACCTGGCCTTAATTTCAACTGAAATAACTGCATTGGGTTGATAAATTTCATAGGCTGACGATGAAAGAGTGATACTTCAAAACTGGTAATTTCAACTCTTCTTATTAATAACTGCATTGAATGACTATGAAGGATTCTGTGAAATCTTGCATGCCTTAATTTCAACTCTTCTATTAATAACTGCATTGTTTCTTTCCAGCCATATAGGCTGACTAAATGCCTTAATTTCAACTCTTATTAATAACTGCTAAGGTATATCTTTAGGCTGATTTAAGACAATCAGTGTGCCTTAATTTCAACTACTGCATTGTTTCTTTTCCAGGTACGAATGTGGGCTGAAAAACTTTACAATAAATTGGAGATGTGAAATCTTGCATGCCTTAATTTCAACTATTTTATTAATAACTGCATTGTTTTTTCCAGGTGGGCTGAAAAACCAACAGATCCTGATGAAGGACTTTTTTATGCATTGTATGTTTCAACATGAAACTGAGGCTGACGATGAATTGAAACCAACTAAAAATTTGAAAACTTCATTTTTGCCTTAATCAACTCTATTAATGCATTGTTTCTTTTCCAGGTACGAATGTGGGCTGAAAACTTAGGCAGACAATGAAGGAGGATCCTATTCCCTTCAACTCTTATAACTGCATTGTTTTTTCCATAAAAAATAGGCTGATTTCCTGAGATGTGAAATCTTGCATGCCTTAATTTCAACATTAATAACTGCATTGTTTCTTTCCAGGTACGAATGGGGCTGAAAAATTTGACGTCTTTCAAAAATGCCTTTACAACTCTTGATTAATAACTGCATTGTTTCTTTCCAGGTACGAATGTGGGCTGAAAAAATCATTTTTAATTCCAACTCTTCTTATTATTTTGTTTCTTTCCAGGTACGAATTTTTGATTTAAAAAAAAATATAACTTTGTTTCTTTCCAGGTACGAATGTTCTGAAATTCATAGGTAATCCTGGATATGTGAAATCTGTAAATTTCAACTAATAAATTTTTCTTTCCAGGTAAAAATTTCATGGCTGAAGCAGTGATCCTGAGATGAAATCTTTGTTATATTTGAATTAATCCTTAATAATTTACCGCATTTGTTTTTTTTTTTATGAAAAATGAATTATGGATTTTCAGAAATAGAAATCCCATAATAACTGCATTGTTTGTAAATTTTAAATTTTTCTTATATTACTAACTGCATTGTTTCTTTCCAGGTTGATGAAAACTAATGAAATTGCATGCCTTTAATTTCAACTATTTTCTTAGGTATTTGTGGGCTGAAAACTTCATATGACGATGAAAGAATACTGGAGATGCCTTAATTTCAACTTATTATTAATAACTATTGTTTCTTTCCAGGTACGAATCTACGATATCAGCCATAAACCTATTAACATACTGCATTGTTTCATAGGTACGAATATTTAAAAACTTCGAGGCTACGATGAAATACTATCCACTACTTGTTTATTAAAATTGTTTAAATAATAATGGGTTGGTTAACGATATATTTTAGACAAAAATTAATTGAGTTGTTTTTCTGTATCAAAATTTTCCATAGAATTCTTTTGCTGTCTATTTTTTTTGAACCAATATATAATTTTATAATCATAATTTTCATCATTATCATCTTGCAGCCTTTTTCTTTTTTACATTTTTCTTTTCACAGGGTGTTAAATTTGGTTGATTGTAACCATTTCACGTTTTTCGCCTTTACCAGCTGTTTAAATGGTGTCTCTAATCTTGTCAAATATTGAATTCATTGATCATCTTCATTCTTGAATTCAAAATTTTTTGATATTCATTGTCTTTCTGAATTTTATCGTGACACCATCACTAAATGGATTGCCAACCAAGGCTTCAGAGACTCCATTCACCATCCTCTAAGAGCAGGTTTGAATTCAGAGTTTTCCTTCTCCTTTCCAGTTGCCATCCAAGGCTATAGAACCTGGTGTGTCCTGCTTATTTACCCATAGCTGGAGGGAGAAAAAGAAGATTCACACCTTTCCCTGCCAGGGTTGTTAAAACATAAGTGTTTGTAATGGATTCGACTGGAATTCGAACTCGGCTCTCCGATTCCTCAATCCAAGCCATCAGTTTTACTTTACTTAGTTCCAACAAAATGCAATCCACCATTTGAGTTGAGTAAAGCTGAATAATTGACGTTAGTTGAAATAGTCTATACTCATGATGGTAATATATATAAAGATACAATATGGTAATCTGTATTGAATTTCTGATGATAAGAGAATATAGATCCAGTGAGAGCTCATGTCAAAGACAGAGCAAAATTATTATTAATTAGAATATCAAACACTCCATAGGTAATTTTTAATTTTTAAAGTTTATGAGAGCCCTAAAAAAGCAGCTCTCAATCTTCAAGACATACAAACAAAATTTAGTATGTAGGTCTTTAATATTGAGAGCAGCTTTTTAGATCTCTCGTGAAATAAAAATTATTATCTATTGAACTTTTAGTGTTTGATATTCTTTTATTAATATTAATTAATAATTATATATATATATATATATATATATATATAATTTATATTTATATATATTTATATATATATATATATATATATATATATATATGTATATATATTTATATATATACATATATGTATATAAATACATACATGTATATATATGTATATATATATATATGTATGTATATATATATATATATATATATATATATATATATATATATATATATATGTATGTATATGTATTATTATCAATATTAAAGACCTACATACAAATATAAGTATGTATATATATGTATGTATATGTATATATATGTATATATATGCATATATATATATGTGTGTATATATATATATATATATATGTCATATACTTATATATATATATATAATGATATCAGCCAATCACACTTAGATGGTTTCAACCTTTAGGTATCCTCAGGCGATATAGGCCAATCGACTTAGGATACCTAAAGGTCTAAACCGTGGTAACATGATTGGCTGATCTATATTAAATTTGAAATGTAAAAGCCCTGCACGGCAAATTATTATTTTTTATTTTCTTTATATGTGTATTAAGCACTTTTTTATAACAACTGTTTCCTGGTTTAATTTAACTCTGACCAATAACAATTTTATAATTATATACATACATATATATATATATATATATATATATATATATATATATATATATATATATATATATATATATATTAGAACTACGATACATCATAGGTATATATATATCGAAAGCCAAAAAGGAGGTTTTGATCGAATTACGAAAGGCAATAAGGTTACAAATTAGCGTAAGAATTTCGTTAACCTTTAATGTTCCTTGGGCATCTCTGTTTTACTAACCGTGCAAGTCTTGTTATATTGACATTTACGAAGTGCAATTTAGTAATGAGTAAGGTCAAATCGATGAAAGAGACGGGTTAACAAGATCGAGCTTCGTCTATCTTCCAAATTAGGGTTTGGGGTTTGCGTTCTTTTGTTTTTGTTTTTTTTTGGTGGGGGGGGTTCTTTTCTTTTCTTTTTTTTTTTTTTTTTTTTTTTGATTTTTCAATCTTAGAAATGAAAACTTTTCCGTGGGCTCAAACATTGAATCCTGGAAACGTTCCGATAGTCTCAGTTACGGCACACCCGAAATATATGAGATAGATAGATAGATAGATAGATAATAGATAGATAGATAGATAGATAGATAGATAGATATGAATATACTGAAATGCATTGATAGATAAATAGGAAAAACTGACATAGATAGATAGATGAATAGATAGGTATGAACAGACTGAGATAGCCAGAGAGGTAAAAAAATATGCAGAGACTTAAATAGATAGATAGATAGATAGATAGATAAAAATTTTGTGATAGATAGATAGATAGATAGATAGATAGATAGATAGATAGATAGATAGATAGATAGATAGATATGAATTTACTGAAATGCATTTATAGATAGATAAATATAAAAAAACTGTCATAGATAGATAGATGAATAGATAGATATGAACAGACTGAGATAGCTAGTGAGGTAAAAGGATATGCAGAGACTTAAATAGATAGATAGATAGATATATAGATAGATAGATAGATAGACTGAAATGTTAGATAGAAGCTACATCTAATAGATAGATAGATAGATAGATGAATAGATAGATAGATAGATAGATAGACTGAAATGCTAGATAGATACTGAAATTATAGATAGATAGATAGATAGATAGATAGATAGATAGATAGATAGATAGATAGATAGATAGATAGATAGATAGATATGAATATACTGAAATGCATTGATAGACAGATAAATAGGAAAAACTGACATAGATAGATAGATGAATAGATAGATATGAACAGACTGAGATAGCTAGTGAGGTAAAAGGATATGCAGAGACTTAAATAGATAGATAGATAGATATACTGAAATGATAGATAGATAGATAGATAGATAGATAGATAGATAGATAGATAATGTCTTAAGCATTTTACCCCAAGCAAGCCGTGAGTGCCACTAGCATGCAAAGAGTAAAAGTAAGTGTAACGATGTGTGTTTGAGGAAAGAATAAAGAGAAGGACGGGGATCAGGATTAATGCATCAGAAGATGTCGATTGACATTACATTTGAATAGTTGAAGATTATACCTATCAGGAAATCAAGTAAGAAGAAGGGAGTTCCATTGTCGGGAAGTACGAGAGAAGAAGCCCTTGGGGTAGAAGAGGCAGTTACATTTAAAGACAAAAGGAAGCCACATCACATCTGTGAGAAAGTGACTGGATTAGAACACCCATCTTTGGATTTTGTCGAGGAACAGCGGGGTCATCAGACCATATATGGCAACAGTATTCAATGTGTTATGGTCCATGTTCCTTGTACCACGGTGATGGTCCAAGGTTAGAACCAATGAAAGAATAACACGAACACAGGTATGGAATACAAAGATATATTACAACAGAAATATAATACAAAGAAGTAGAAGTATTAGTAATGACTATCAGATTTGGTTAGAGTGAACTATGTTGTCTCGACAAGTATCACTATTCCAATGTCCTTACAATATGCTCTCAATTATCTCTCCTCGTCTTACAACTCCTGATACCTCTTGAGAGGCGCAGTATTTATAATGTCAGGAATAGTCCTTTATTATTATGGGTAAGTTCCCATAACATAATGCAAGGACGAATGGTACATTTGTAGACTTGAAGGATGAACTCAAGCGAGAAAAACCTTCTGGTGTGACACAGAGAATCAAGTTTCCTTGCGGTAGATGTATCTATTGATTCGGTGTAAATGTTCCACCTCAGGTCAGTGGAAAACGTGAGAGCGATAAGGCTCAGAGAGACGCTCTCGTGGAGGTGAGCACCAGCCATGCCGATAGGAGGCAGGGAAGTTTCTCTATGGTGGATAAACAAGAGCAGTTTCGTTTTGGAGGCATTAAAATTTACAAGCCTTTTCCTGCCCCAGTTAACAACAGACTGGAGGTCATTTTCGAGACCAACGACCAGTTTGACTTTGTCAGCAAAGCCGGATCACTATCGAGACGGGAGTAAATAGTAGTGTCGTCTGCGTAGATGCCTAATTGAGAACTGATGTCATCAGGAAGATCGTTGATGAAGATCAGAAACAGTGTAGGACCCAGAATAGAGCCTTGGGGAACATCGGCGTTCGTATGAAACGAGCTAGAGGAGAACCTGTTTAGGACGACCTTTATTTCACGATTTGACAGGAAGGATTGGATTAAATGAACTAATTGTCCTGTAATACTGTATCCCTGAAGTTTCCGTAGAAAGCCGGCATGCGAAAACCTGTCAAACGCCTTAGAGATATCTAGAGCCACTGCTCGATCTTCGCCATTATTATCAAGAGGTTTGTATACAATTTCAGTTATAGCCGTAAACATGTCAGCGGTAGACCGGGCAAGGCGGAAACCATATTGTTTGTCAGAGAGTAGATCATGGGAGGTAAGCTTAACGACTTCGGCATTGTCTAAAGCCTCGAAGACTTTGCCAAAGAATGGCAGGAAACTGACAGGACGGTAGTTAGATGAGTCAGAAGGGTCTTCAGAGTTCTTAAAATCAGGAACAGCAGATGAAGACTTCCAACAGACTGGAAAGCAAGAGTCAGCGAGGCAATAGTTATATATCTTAGAATTTTTCGGTACATTGGTGTAAGCTAGTCAAAATGAGCTGACTTATTTTATAGTTCACCAATAGAAGGGTTAACCAATCAGAAAGCTCAAAATATCCAATGCGACGGGTATAAAGGCGGTCATGTTTTTTTTGTTTTTGTTTTTTGTTTTTTTCCGAATATGCATTGCCAGCCTTTGATATCGAAGACTGAAGAATTATGGAACCGCTGCTGGTGAGTGTTAATCTTCAACCTTGTTTCATTGAACAGATTACGTACTGCGCTGTATTCTATATTCATAGACCATGAGGAACATGGTTAACAAAGGTTATGAGCCCAGCACGCTTCTACTGCGCTGTATTCTATATTCATAGACTATGGTGAACATGGCGAACAATATAGTTTTGAGAGGACTGGAGCCAGCTCAGAAGCACATTTCTTTAGGACTACGGCTGGTGCCCCCGTCACCACCACTTGCCTTATGAGAGTCTAATTTGGAGATGATGTCCAATACCAACGATGGGGTTATGCTCATCTCACTCAATAGAACCCCATTTTTAGGGGGGTGGAATCAGATGGAGTACACCGGACGCGACGAGTGTTGAGTTGAATGAGAATTTCCGAGCAAAGCATTCAGCCATATCAGCCTATTATTGAATAGAGGAGGGTTTGTAGATTTTCTGTTTTTCGGCATGCTCTTTTAGAGTCACCAACGATCTTTAGAAGCAAACTTGCTTCATCCTATCAGCAAATAATAACTTTGCTTCATTGAGGAGACGCTTGCACTCATTACGAGCAGAGACAAAGAGACGTCTGTTGCAAATCAGACATGTCACTCCGGTACAGATGGAAGAAGTGATTTCTATGGGCTGTAGCATCTGAGGAAGCAGCTGAGAACTGTAGAATAACAAAACAAGAAACAGCACTTACCGGCGTAAGGGTCCCAGCTAGCGTCCAGCTGGCAGACAAAAATAAAGCAGGTTGTAACTCAATACAAACCCTGAAAACTAACTGATGAATCATGCTGGTATTTATACAGAAATACCTCCACTCCTGTACCAGCAGCCAATCACAGCCCAAGCAATGGACTATCCCACTTTAGCACAATGAGATGCTCCATGGCACCATAAATAGCTCTCTTAAGGTTGAGTTATTATTCACTCAGCTTGCTCCACAACTGAGTGTTTATCTTGACCACGTGATTGTTACAGTTTTTTGGATACATGTTTTATACTAGTGAGCCAGCCAAAATGAGCTGACTTATTTTATAGTCCACCAAGAGAAGGGTTAACCAATCAGAAAGCTCAAAATATTCAACCAGACGTGTATAAATGCAGCCATTTTGTTTTTTCTCCCAAAATATCTCCACTGCCAACCTGATATTGAAGACTTAAAGAATTAACAGCCGCTACTTTCTCCAAATCTACACTGCCAACCTCTGGTATTGAAGAGATTACAGACTTCACTGGATTCCATATTCAGAGACTACGGCAAACATGGTCAACAGGCTTTTACCCAGGAGGAGACCTCAGACGTACATTTTTGAACGGGGTGATTAAAAACCACATTCCAAGAGACGTTGCGAAGGAAAACAAGGAACGATTCCTAGTCTGCTTGTTGATAACACAAAAATATTGTTAGTAGGAGATTCTTGACTAGAGGGGGAGTGGAAGGAGATGTTTAAAGACACTACAGCGTGATCAGAGTTGCCAAGAGGGCAGAGCTGCGTAGCGCGACAAGAGGCAGGGATGGAGGTAAAACAGCGATCGAAAATGGAAGTGTTACCGTCAGGGTTACTGGGGAAACGTGTAGGAAAGTCAACCATCTCCGCGAGGGATTGAGTGGTTGAAACGTTAAAGGTTTGGATGCCAGCGATGTCAGTTAGAAAGTGTTTAAGCCACATAGTATGGAACGAATTAACTTGAGAGCCAAGTTGGTAGCCACGGTAGCCACGATACGAGCTATGTATGTATGTATAGATCGCTCGCGAGCTAGAAGGCATATTGGGGGTGGGGTGGGGGAGAGCTTACGGAGATATGCTTATGCATTCATTACACCTACCCATATATTGTATGGATGGGAAAGATAGAGATAGAAGACTGACATAGATAGATAGATAGATAGATAGAATGAATAAACAGATAGATACATAGATATTAAAAACTGGGAAGATAGATAGATATGATAGATAGATAGATAGATAGAAGATAATATAGAACATAGATAGATAGATAGATCAATTACATAATAAAAAAACTGGGAAGAATAGATAGATAGATAGATAGATAGATAGATAGATAGATAGATAGATAAAAGTATATATAAACAGTAAATACATAAAATAAACAAATTAGGATAGATATTAGATAGATAGATAGATAGATAGATAGATAGATAGATAGATAGATAATAACTATGATAGATAGATAAATAGATAGATAAATATGAAACTGAGAAGATAGATAGATAGATAGATAGATAGATAGAACTAGATAAAACAGATAAATAGATCAATAGAAAAAGATAGATAGATAGATAGATAGAAAAAAAGATAGATAGATAAAATAAATAAACTGTATGAGAAGATCAACAAAAATAAGATAGAAATAAGAAGATAGATAGAATAAGAAGAAAAAAAAGAAGAAGAAAAAAAGAAGATAGAAATAACTTAGAAGTAGATAGATAAAGTGAACATTAATAACTGAAAAACAAAAGAAAAAGATAGAAAAAACAAAAAAAAAAGATAGATGGATATTCTAACGAGTTTGCAGACACAAACCAACCGATATCAAAGAAGGCAGTCTACCCAAAGATATTTATATCGAGAATACGGTTCAATATTATTGCTTCGTACGATGGTGTTGATAACGGTTTATTCTGTTTAGGTAAATAGACGTTCACGTGTAGATTTCTTTTCTTTCTTTCTTTCATTCGCTGCTTTCAATTCAAAACCATAATGATTTAATAGGTGCCGAACTCTTTGGTTGCTCACCTTACCCAATTCCAGCGCAGACAATCGACCAAATTGTCCAGGGGATGGTAAAATGCCATATTCAAAGTTAAGTAGGTAACTGTTTGATATTTAGAACAACCCTGAGACCAATTACGTTCTAGTCTCGGTCATAATTCTAATTAAAATTATTGGATTTAACGACATATAACGAAATTTCCTATCTTTTTCTTTTTCGTAGAAAACATCTGACAAAATCATTATCAAAGTTAACCCTTTCTCAGCCCTTCTTTAGGTGTATTACATTTTACCGAAAGTGTTTTTTTTTTTTTTTTATTTTTTTTTTTTGTGGTGGTGGTGGCAAGGTGGGGGGTAAACAGATTTGTTTATCCGCTGATTCTTGATTCTTTTATGTTTTTTACTGAGTTCAAACAAGTCCAATTTTCAACTCATAAAATCTGGCAGAGGTATGCACCACTTGGTACATCAAGGTCCCTCATTTTTTTGGTCTTATAATAAAAACAGATAATTAAAATTCGTCCCCTCGATGAAACATTTTCCCCAAATAATTGGTTTCGGTAAGGGACTAATACACTCATCTTTTTTATGTCATAATTAATAAAAATTATATAATTAACATAATTCGCTTAATTAACATAATAATTAAAACAATTAATTATAATTGATATAATTAATTGATTAATTAATAAATAACAAATGAAACAGATGTTGTTTTTTTTCCTTGTTTTATTTTTGTTGCTTAGTTTTTATTAAATAGTTTTTAATTATTAATTATTATTTAATTCAATTAATTTAATTAAAAAACTATTTTGTTTATTTATTTTATTAATTTATTATTTATTTATTTTATTAATTTATTATTTATTTATTTTATTAATTTATTTTATTAATTTATTATTTATTTATTTCATTAATTTATTATTTATTTATTTTATTAATTTATTATTAATTTATTATTTATTTATTTATTTTATTAATTTATTATTTATTTATTTTATTAAAAAAATTATTTATTTATTTTATTAATTTATTTTATTAATTTATTATTTATTTATTTTATTAAACCATTATTTATTTATTTTATTAATTTATTATTTATTTTATTAATTTATTTTATTAATTTATTATTTATTTATTTTATTAATTTATTATTTATTTATTTTAAAATTTATAATTTATTTATTTTATTTGAATTATTATTTATTTATTTATTTTAAATTATTTATTATTTATTTATTTATTTTATTCCATTTATTCTTTATTTAAACTATTTTAACTCAATTTATTATTTATTTATTTTATTAAATTATTATTTATTTATTTAATTTTATTATTTTATTTAATTATTTCTATTTTAATTATTAATGTGTATTTTATTAATAGCTGGATAAAAAAATTAAAATTTTCAGATGATTTTTTTTTACATAAAAAAAAAAAAAAAATAAATATACTAAAATAGAAATCCAGCTTTTAATTAAAAAAACAACACAAAAACAAAATTAAAAAAAAAAAAATTTTCAAATTCAGTTAAAAATTAAGAATTCCTTTGTCTTATTGCAGAAATCCTATTTTCTTCTTCAAATTATAGTTATTGGATTTGAAACCCCAAATACTATCCTTCCAGTTTGTTCAAGATTTATCTATTTGAAGAATTCATCTTCTATCTATTCCATCTGTTTGCTTTTCAGTTCATATCAATTTTCTATCTGTGTACAAACGGCTTCAGTTCATATTGATGAAATCTATCTATCTATCTAAGAATCAAAACTAAAGTGAGGTTTTCATATCTATCTTTCATCTATCTATCTATTTTTCTAAGCTCAACCAGAGAGTATTATTATCTTCAGTCTATCTATCTATCCTATCTATCTATCCAAATCTCAGTTTCTTTTTTATTCATAGGTTATTTATATATAATCAAACTATATTTTAAAAACTAATTTACAAATTATATTTATTTAATTATCTATAAATAAATTATTCTGGTTGTTATCGCCCATCTATCTATCTATCTAACTCCCAAACTTTTCAGTAAGTGTTTGATATCACCATAGGAATTTCTATTTCTTAAAATGATTTAATCAAATTTCTCGAATGATCACCAAAGAAGCTGTTTTGAGCCTGCTCAGTACGAAGGTTTGGTGATCGCTAGGGAACACCAGGTGCTGTAAACATATTCCAAATTAAATAGATAATTCAACTCGAATTGGAAATCAAAAAAGTCAACCTCCGAACGAGACGGATTTGCTATTAATTGAAAATTGTATAATATTAGACCCTATGGATCGCCAATAAATTTACTACTCTATATGTTCACAAATTAGTTTTTGTTTTTATTATTATTAAACGGTGGAGTAATGGATCCATATAGATTATTTTATTGTATAGCCGAATTTGAATACCAGTCTTTTTAATTATTAAAATGCTACTATTAGCGCTACTGGGTCAGTCCTCTTATGACGATCAACTATCCGGCAAATAGGCCTTCGACAGACCTGGTTCTATTTTCTTGGATGGAAACACCTCTTAATTGCAAAAAGTTCCCAGGGCCACCCTGACCTTTGAGGTCATGCACCTGTTATACATGATCACCTAAGCGTGTATAATGAACCCACAAATAAAAAACTGAAACCCCACCTGCTTCCCCCATATTTTTTAAATAAAATGATATTTTCTACATTTTAAGTATTTGTAAAAGATTGATAATTCATCCTAAAATCAAAGCGTGAAATATCCAGTGACAGGAACCAAAGAGTGGATATAGTTCAATACCCGGTTTATATATATATATATATATATATATATATATATATATACTGATAACTTGGAGCTGGTAGAATAAAAATCAACGGTTTTAGTGGAACTTTCAACAGTTGTCTGAATTGAGCGAAATGAAGGGTTCAGTTCTAACATACCAACTATCCTCAAGAAGGTCACACTTGCTTCATATGCCGAAAACGTTGTAAATAAATATGGCGAATGCAACTTAAGATTATCGCAAAAATTACATAAATAACCAATTAATAATCATCTCATACGATGTATTCAATTGCGAATCCGGAACATTCGCCGTAAATAAATTTTGTTGTTGTTTACCTCATATTTTAAACTTTTAGGATTAATACAAATGTGAAATTTATCACTTTTTATTATTGATTCAATATTTCACCACCACGAATACAAGTTTCGTAACATTACCTTTTTCCAAATAATTTGTTCAAATTTTCAGGAGATTACTGAGAGTTGAAGCTTTATTCTTCTTTGATTTTATTTTATATTGAAAAAAATAATATTCACTTTATTGGTGTTTGTGGTTGAAATTTTCTTATTCATTGCGTGCTCAGTAAGAATTATGATATAACAAAATATTAAAATTAACAGAAATATTCAAATATTTTTCTATTAATTGCTGACGCGAGTTTCACAAGTGCAATTTTTTTTTCGGGGGTCCAAAAACGAGGAAATATCTTGTAACGGATTTTGATCCTGATAAAAGATTTGTTTTGCCATTTTGAAATTCAAAGTAATGGGCATTATTAGCCAGATGTCATTGATAAATTAAGGTGGTCACATATGGAAAAAAATGACTGAAAGGAAAAAGAATGATGAACATGGTTTGTTCTCAGAAAAACTTTTATACTAGTAAGAATTTCAAAACTATATATATAAACATGTATTCACAAACCCACAGATTGAATGTATATCTTACTTATTGTAAAACGTGTGTGTGTGTGTGTGTGTGTGTAACGTTTATATATTGGATCGGATTTCCTACATTTTTCAACCGATTTCAACAAAACTTCACAGGACTACATAAAATTACCTTTGTGGTGGTTCTAACAGCGCCAAAAATGGGAAAAATATAATTGTTTTTGCACAAAATCAATTTGAAAACACGATTAAGAGACATCGTGAAAATGGAAGGGGACAACTCACAAAACCCAGGTTGTTTGTGTGTGGGTTCCTTTATATATGGGATTTTCCTATTTTTTCAGCCGATAAAACAAAACTTCACTTTTTTTTTTTTTGGCAGGTAGTGTTTCTTATTCTCTTGCACACTTTTTTTCTTTATTTTTAACATTCAGAATGCTTTAAAAATTCCATTTACAAGACAATTATTTATAATAAAATTCTATTCAATCGGGAGACTCATAACGATTGAAAACAATGTTTTTGTTTGAGTTTGACCAATTCGTAAAAAAAAAAAAAAAAAAAAAAACTAATTAAGACATGCGTGTCCGTCAACCTTAAACAATAATCTAACGATCTCTACTGATTGTACGAATACAAACATCGGATAAATTCTTTATCTTTAGGGAAAGATAATGAAATCTAAACATGCACATGTCCTAACTAAAAAAATATAACCGGAACGGAAACTACTTTAAATACACATGGTGTCCAATTTTTTTTACTGTATTCAATAAGTAAAAATCATAAATTGTAAAAGATTATTATTACAGAAAGGCTACTAAATGAATAAGATTTGTTAGATCATAATTAATAAACCCAAATAAAGTTAATATTTTTTGTATTAGAAACAACGAGTGGAAAATATATTCAAATCAGAATTCTAATTATGAATCACCACAAGCAAAATAT